AAAGCAACTTGCATGTGTGGGCAATGCTGTGGACATTCACAGGTCCGGATGTTTTTTAATGTGATATCTTTTGCATGCTGGTCTGCCTGGTGCTTGGAGGAGCAGCCAGTGGGTGGCCAGAATGCATCTCCCAGCGGCGGTTCTGAGTGTCCTGAGCGCTCACCAGGGTGCTGGGCCCAGGCTGAGAGTGGCGAGTGAGACAACCTGGGGGCCACACCCCGTGTCCTGGGAAGTGTCCATCTCAGATGTCGGCTCAGCATTGCCAGGTCCATCCCAAGCTGAAAGCCATTTCCCGTGCAGTCAGCGCAGCTGAGGCACCTGCCCCTGTACAACTCGCTCTCTTTCTGATGTCGCCATTGAAGAGGACTGCACTTCAAGAAGAGCCTTTCTGGGTAAGTGCTGTTCCCTCTGGGACCTTCTTGACTCACTACATGTCAAGGTTGAGGTCTGTCTGTTCCAATACCAGGGAGAGAAAGAAGTGCAGTGGGCTCTGCCCGCCTAGACAGGAAGCAGAAACCTGTGACCTCATTGGAGGTACACGGTGGCAGGCAAGGGGACCAGGCTCTGGCTGCTTATTTTCATGAATGAACAAGTGTTGTGCACGCACCATTGACGTTTTTCAATGAGTGCTCCCCAGAGCGATGACAGCCATGGAAAACTGAGTCATGAAGGACATCAGAGCCTGTGACTCATAGCTTTGCTTCAAAGCTGCTCAACAGAAAAGAATAGCTCCTGGAAATGCAGCTGGCTGGGTGGTGTGTGGGCTGTGAGCATCCCTCATTTGCTGGCTGCCCCATCCGGGGTTGACGCCTGAAGCTGAGGTTCGCAAGGAGGGGTTCCTGCGAGCAGGAGGGGGTGTGGATGAGCAGCTCAGGGCATGGATGCTATTCAAGGTGATTCTCCAGCTGGGCAGTGGCTCTGGGAAAGTATTCCTTCTTCCTGGAGGTTAGATTTTGGCAAAGTTACACATTAACATGCGGCCTTAAAGGGCTTTGTGTGGTGAAACATCCAACGACACATCCGGGCGCCCTCCTGCTGTATCCAGAGGCTGTCTTCCTTTTTGCTGATGGAAAGGTTGACTGTACCTGATCTGGGGGTGTCTGAATGCACGCATGTGCATGTGGAGGAGCAGTAATGTGAGAACCCCAACCTCAGGAGGAAGCTTGTTTCTCAAGGAGCACAAAAGCTGTTCCTTTGATGTTAAGGTCACTGGGAGTAGATAATTTTTTCCAGGTCCCTTTTGCCGATAGTGTCAGCAGGATAAAGCAAAGGTTATTGAACTTCATTCGTAAGGAGGAAGAAGGGAGCATATGGCATCCTTTTTTCATGGTTTGGGGCTGTCATCTGTAAACTCCAGTAGTAGGGGGCAGGGACTGACTGGTGAAGTGGCTGCAGAGCTCATGACTGGCATTTGGGATTGGCATTTGGGAGGCTGTATCTTGGCTGTACCTGCCTGTGCCTACAGACCAGACCTCTGGTCCAGCTGAGCCCCCAATTACAGGATCCTTCAGCCACAAGTTATACAAAGTGGGTCATTTTGAGTGGATTCGGGAAGAGAGCAGGGCTCTTGAATTCACCCCTAATGGAGGGTTGTGTGTCCTGTCACTCTTCCCTGCGGCGACCTTCAGATTACTCACCTGACAATGTCCATATGACCACATCCAGCATGGCCCTTGAAGGTGACCCTGACGATCTGGCACTATGTCCCGGTGTGCTGAGAAGGCAAGTCCACCCAGTGAGTGGGCACTGAGCAGGACACTTCTGGGGTCAGGGGCATGGGGAACATGTTGAGCTGGGAAAACCACGGGGAAAGACGTTTTTGGAATAGCTGACGGCTTTCAGGCTTTGGGTTGAGGGGCAATCATTCTTTCCCACTCTTTCTGGCTTCTCAGGGAACCCACTTTGAACGTGGCAGATCAGACTTCCAAACTCGAGTTCCCAAATGTTTGGTTGGAGTCTCTTCGGACACCCCAGAGTGCTGCTACAGGAGACACACATAGAAAAGAGTTGGAGGTCCCATGGAGACAGGCCCTCCTGGTCTCAGTGACACTCTCAGACAGGAACACCTGCTCTCCCCCAGGAGGCATGGAGATGCACTCTGAGATCATAAACCCGAGGCCCGGAGAAACACACCATGCTCTTCATCCCAAACGAAGAGATATCATCGTCCTCTTTACCTGTAGCTTCACCGTCCATGGTTTAGCGACCTCTCGTCAATGTTCCAAAAATGGAACGTGCCACAAATAAGAAACTCAAACATTTTCCATTGCACGCCATTCTGAGTAACATCATGAGCTCTGGTACTATCCCACGCTGTTCCACTGGGGACAGGAATCATCTCTCTATCCAGCGTATCCACTGTGTATGCACTGCCCACCTGCTCAGTTCCGGTCTCAGGTGTCGGAGCCGCTGTTGTGGTACGGAGGTGCTTCTGCTGCAGTAAGTGGTGCTTTCAGTAGCAGCGGCCTCAAGTGCAAAAGCGGTGAAGCTGTTGATGCAGACATGCCAAAGAAAGACCCCAAAATGCCTCCAGGCAGTGAAAAGCCCAAAGCACAGTAAGACATACTGAGACCATATTCACACCACTATTACTCAAATGCATTGCCATAATTGTCCTATCTCATTACTCATTATCATTCATGATCCTGGTGCATCTAATATATCAATTACACTTTCTCACAGACACGTGCCTACAGGAAAAACCGTAAGCCTTGAGTACTATCTGTGGCTTCTGGAATCCACCTGGGATCATGGTATACGTCTCTCATGGATAATGGGGCCTGCTGTCCCAAACCCCAAATTTCATTTCAGCTCTTCCATAAAGCTTTCTTCTTTCCTGGAGGAACATGGCAGAGAGTCATGCACAGTGCCACCTGCTGGCCACAGTGCAGAACTGCGGCTGGCAGTAGCTGGGTGGTATCAGCGAACATTTTCAGAACAAAACCACAATGCCCAGCAGTGTGTCAGCACTGGCATCCCTGCTCTCCAGGGATGAACAGGTTCAGTAGGACTTGCCCATGGACAGTGCTGCAAACACAGCTGTTTGTTGTGCCTACCTGGGGTCAGACTTGCATCACAGTCCACTGATAGGGAAGCAGCCCCCGCAGCCAGCCCCAGGGGCAGCTGCTGCCTGTTCCCTCCCATCCGTGGGCTTAGGAGGAGCCCTCAGGCCAGCTGTTCCCATCACTTCCTCCTGGGCTGGGCTGTGTTGGAGAGGATCCTGCTGCGTTGGGAAGGAAGGTTGTAACAGGAGGGTCTCCCGGTGCTTGACCACGGAGGGCACACGGGAGACAAACACACACAGAGACCCAAGGTATCTCCGCGGGAGGACAGCACAGTGAGGATGCGGAGTAAGCTCATGGGAGGCGGTCTGCTTGTAAAGCGGGCACATCACCCTAAACTGTGTGTGTGCAGGATGTGGGGCGGGCCTGTGTGTGTGGCTTGCCTGGTGTATGCAGGTGTTCTCATGTGTGCACACACATGCATGCTCACACATGACTCCATGCACACGTGGGGTGTGCTGCACAGGTGCACACTTGTGTGTATATGTGACCATGCAAATACCAGGGCATGCCTATGTGCCCCCCACACACAGTGTTTGTGTGCATGTGTGTGTTTGTACACAGCTGCCAGCATGCGCCTGTGCACAAGCGTGCATGACGGGCACAGCCTCTTTCAGCACAGGCATAAACCTGGGCTCTGAGATTCTTGACTCAGAGCTGTCTTCAGAGAGAACTCAAACCCCACGCCTGTGTGTGGGCCCCGGCAAGGATCTCTGCCTCCCCAGCTCACGTGTGCAAGGGCAGGGCTGGCAGCCCTGGTTGGGGGTGGGCTGATGCCCCGCTCATGGGCCTCATGGGCAGAGGACATGGCCCGTTGGTGGTGGGACAGGCCCTTGCCTGGCTGCTCCCCTCCTTCTCCGTGGCAGGGGCTCCCCGGAGCCTGCCTAACACCCATCTTTTCAGCACAGGCAGGGGCCTCAGCATGTCGCCGAGCACAGCCCACACTGGTCCATGCTCCGTACCACCATTTAAGAGTGCCACCCATCATGTCTTCGTCACTCCCAAGACAATCACCTCAAAGCTAACTTTCAGTTTTTACACCGAAAATCACAATTTAGAAAAAGTGTCCAGTGACATGACTGAGCGCCTCTGAAACAGAAGGGAAGCATGCAGCGTCATCAGCTGGTGAGGAGGGCTCACTGGAAGCCGGCAGAACCGGAAATCCAGCCCTGGTTTCGGGGGAGGATATTTGCAGGCAGAGCTCCAGCCAGACTTGCAGTCCCCAGGCTGAAGTCAAGGGGACGTCTCTGTCCAGCCGACCCGACGCAGGGCTGGGTACGGGGACACGGGGGAAGCCCTCATTCAGCTGACAAGAGCCACACAATGACTTTACCCTCCGAGTGCACTTCCCACCAGCGACGCACGCAGCCCTGGCTCAGGAGCAGTCCCACCGTCAGGAACCTTCTGCCTGCCTCTGCCACTGCGCTGTCCCCTGGCAGACAAGGATCAGGTACAAGAGAGGACAGGTCCTAAAGACGCGCCCAGAGCAGTGACAGGCAGCTTGCTCAGTCTATGCTCACGTGAAACACCCTGTAAGAAGCCTGGAGACTTGCCCCCAGTGGCCAGGCTGAACCCTCCTCACAGCGCGGATTCTGCCCCTGCTGCCTGACTCTATGGGACCTTCTTGGTGACCCAAGGGCAAAGAATTATTTTTCCCAAGGGACACGATTTTCAGCATTATATAAGACTTGCCTACCACAGGACGTGGACACTCAGGAACATGCTCCCTGAAGGAGGGGGCACAGGAGATGGCCTGAGGGGCAGGGGGGACACAGCACCCCTTTGTCCAGCCTTGCAAACAGAGCCGGGGCCCTGCCTCACTCTCGGCCTGACTATATTCTAGAGGGGCAGGTGCTATGAAACAGCAGCGGAATAAGCGCTGAGGAACTCGCCATAATTACATTCATACAAGGAGCTTTAGGAAGTTCACGGAAAACGGAATTTAAAAATACGTTTATTTTTGGTGCGCAAACATTGGAATTCATGCCTTGGCCTTGTTCATCATACTCATCTTCCAAGGACAGTCTGAAGCCCCCTCATAGTTCTCTGAGTGAGTGACCGTTAGGAAAGACACCCTCTGGAGAACAAAGGCAGACCCCCCCCCCCCCAAGAGCTCAGCATCATTCACTTCTTTTCAAACCCAGCAGCTCCAGGCCCTTGCTCTTATGCGCCTACAGTGACCGAGGGCTGGCCCACAGGGATCTCATCCCCAGGGGCCCCAAGTGTGTTCAGCGCACTTAGCATTCAGGGGTCCTCCCTGGGTGCAAATGATCAAACTGCCAGGCAGCGTGTCCATACCAAAAGGTACGGAAGGCTTCTAGAAACTTCTAGAAGCTTCTTAATTCCTGCCAGTGGCTCATATCTTCTCTGGGCTAAGCTGGGGAAGGATGGTCACTTGTCTCTCTGCTTCAAGTCCCTCTGTTAGGAGTAAGGCGCCCCATGCCGGCTGTCCGAGGAAGTTCTCCCGTTTTCAAAGGTCTCAGGTGCACCTCAACTTGGGCATGTTCGTAGCATCACAGCTGGCACACAGCTGGCAACGCTTCCACACGTTCATGGCCTTCAGCAACATCCTACTCATGCAGAATCAAACACTGAGTCGAGGATCTGCAAAGTCTAGGAGGACAGAAAGGGACTTTGTGGGGTCTTGGCGTTCCAACTCACAGCCACACTCGAGGCCTCTCCATGGCAAGGGCCAAGGTCTTTGGCTTGATTATGAGTCACTGCTTCTGAAGGGATTCCTCATTGGATGGCATCGGCCTTTGCATCGTCTGCCTGTTGCCGGGGTTTCAATGTGTCCCAGAAGTCCACAGGTTGGAGACTCAACCCCGAATTCCTAGGTGGACTGTTTGTGGATGCTGCCGCCGTGAGGAAGTGGTTTGGGTGAGATGAGGTCCCGAGGCGGGGGCCCCCACGAGGGCACTGGCGCCATCCTCGTGGTCCTGTTGGGTTTTAAAGCCTCGGGAGCTGTTCCCTCCCTGGGGAAGCTGCTGGAGGCCCAGCCTGCCGGCCCGTCAGAGCATGTCCCAGAGGCACCGGCTCCACCTCCTGCCTTTGTGCTCCTCTGTCTCACGTGCCGCCTGTGTCCCCGTCCGCTTTGAAAATGCCGGGCTGTTGTCAGAACTCTGCATTCCCTGGCCCAGCAGGCAGAGAATGCAACTAGGCTCTGGAGAACTGCAGAGACAAAAGCAATTCCGAAGCAAATCCTGCAAGAACACATCAGGAAAAGCACACAGCCAAGAATCCAGCGTGTCCAATGGATCCTGTCGCTTTCCTTCTTCCAGGACCCAGCCAGCTCTCCTGACCGGCAGAAGGCGGATAAACACTGAAAATCAGGGCAACTGTTGAATTCAGGTTCCTGGGGTTGAGTCTCCCAGCGGGGCAGCCCGGCCAGGCAGAGGAGCCCTTAGTTCACCACGTCGTAGTAGTAATTACGCAGCCGCAGTTCCACTGCTACAAACCCGGGCCTTTTCTCCACGCTGAAAAGGGAAGAGACGCAGCAGTGTCAAGGCCAATGGAGGAAAAAGCGTTCAGTGGCAGCTGACCAGGCCAGTGCCCCCTGGTGGCGTTCTCCAGGGATTGCACTCACAGCATGGTCATTGAACCCGCAGCCTCAGCCCACCCCCCTGACCTGCCGAATCCTGCAGCTTAACAACATCTCCAGGTTGTTGATGTTCACCTGCAAGTTGGGGGTACTGTGCACTAGACCTCAATATCTGACCTCGGGGTTCAGATGCTATCTCCTTGTGAGTCTAGAAAAAAAACAGAGTATGCCTGAATACAATCAGAAGGTTAACGTGCTGCAGATATATTGAATGCACAGCTTATAATGTTGTTAGAAGAAGAAAGTATGTGAGGAGGCATCGTGGCTCAACAGGCTAATCCTCCACTTGCAGGCGCCAGAATCCCATATGGGCACCAGTTCTAGTCCCGGCTGCTCCACTTTGCATCCATCTCCCTGCTGGTGGCCTGGGAAGACAGCAGAAGATGGCCCAGATTCTTGGACCACTACACTTGCAGAGCAGACCCAGACAAAATTCCTGGCTCCTGACCTTTACACGGGATTCTCTTTGGCCACCACAGCCACTTGGGGAGTGAACCAGAGGATGGGAGATCTCTTTCTCTGTCCTTCCTTCTCTCTGCAAATCTGCCTTTCAAATAAACAAATCTTTAAAAATCTATATGAACACGGACATAACAACAGCTCTCTTACTCATGGACCCAAGGGTGGCTGTGGATTTTCTCAAATTGGACTGTTGACAGGCGTTTGCGTTAAACCTCAAGAGCTGAAGACTCAGATCTTGTCACGTATCTTAGCACAGGCAGCCCTTATTGACAAGCCAGAGACTCGCATTAGCAAGCTTTGGTTAAGACCAACACTTACAGGTGTCCCTTCTGCCAATGCACAGACCAACTGGAACAGATCCAGTCACTCCCGGGGATAGCAGGGACTGGCTCGGGACTCTCCTAGAGGTGAAGATGTGTGAGTCCTTTACGCAATGGTGTGCTGCTTACACGGAATCTTCACAACCCTCCCCTGTGCTTTATTCAATGACATTTACTGATTGGAAAGGGAAACCTTGCATCCGCTGGCCACTCCTCAAATGACATAGAAAGGCCGGGACTTGGCCAGGCTGAAGGCAGGAGCCCAGAACTCTACCTGGGTCTTTGACCCCGATGGCCGGGGACCTAACTACCTGAGCTGTCTCTCCGGGGTGTGCATCAACAGCGAGCTGGGATTGGGAGTGGAGCCAGGACTTGAGCCCGGAAAGGATGCCAACATCCCAAGAAGCGTTTTTAATGGCTGTGCCAAACACCTGCCCACTCCCATTTATGTTCAGTCATCTCTGGATGAGCTACAATACCTAATTAGTGTTCTTTGCTCACAAATGATTATCATACTGTGTTGCTTGGGGACTGAAAGCAGAAGAACCAAGTTTATACACGTTCAGTACACAGAAGGCATGCTGAATCTTTTTGATCTGCAGTTGGTTGATTTCTTGGTTACAGAGGCCATGCATATGAAGGGCTGACTCAATCCTTTATAACCCTGAGACCCTAACCTCCCTCAGAAGCTGCTTTTCTTACTTTGCAATCCTCTGGCCACGTTGCAGGTGGATAAGTTTGTCTGATAAGTGCCACAGATTTTGCGGTTAGACTCAGGGTCAATGGCCACCTCCCTAACTCTCAGGTATGTCACATTTTTCCTTCCTGGCTGAGCTGCCCTGAATTCCTGAGTGGCATGTCATAGGTTCGTGGAAAGCACGAACAGAGTCTGAGTCCATTGGGAATGTTGTGTGCTGAGAGTTCTGGAGACTGCATTTCTAAGGAAATACATCCTTAGCCAGTCCATCAGAACTGGCTAAAATCATGGTCATGCCACACTGTGACCAGCAGTCAGGGAAGTAGGCATATAGGACGTGCACCTGCTAGGGGTAGTTGTGCAACCCTCTTGGCCAGGGATGGCTGGCAGCACTAGTTGTTAACCAACATTGCTCCCACCCCTACCCTCACGTACATCATATTGAAGGTCAGAACTGGGGCAACTGGCAAACCTGCTCTCTAGACTCGAAAGAATACAAGTGCTTGGTCCAGGAAGCAAGCCGAGACCGCCCCATCCCCTGTGGTTGATGCAGACAGAAGCTCATTCCTGACTTGTGGAAGAGCAGGAGTCGTCCTGGCCCTCAGGCAGGCCACCTGTCCCCAGCCGGTGTGTGGTGAGGGGCAGCCAGGGCCAGTACTCACTCGTATGTCCAGCACAAGTTCATCAGTTCGTACATCTCCCTTGGGCACCCGGGAGGGCATCCCATCCGCTCGCCTTTTTCCAACATGGCAGTCACTTCACTCCCTTTCATCCCCTGAAACATGCAAAACACACACACACGTGAGCTGTCCGAGGCCGTGTCAGCAAAACAGTACAGCACCTCCCACGTTCCACCTGACACAGGCACACGGGCTGCCCACCGCCTACTCCATCAGGGCCAGAACCAGGAACGCATGCCGGGGTCACATAGCGGGGCTGGGCTACCCAGGGGCAGGGCTGTGCATGAGGAAGAAACAGGGGTCTTCTTCATCAGAGGGTGGAAAGCTCATGGAGCAGCCTCCCGGGATGCATGTTGAACAAGGGGGCACGTTGCCAGAACCATGTCATCAGGCTACGTGGCTGCTCTGTGAGCACCTCGTGGCTCACCCACACACACTACGATGGCTGCAATGTTCATTCAATGACGTGTGCTTACAAAACCACCTTGGGCATGTGGCCTCTGCACCGAATGCTGTTACACAGGAAAAAACGCTCGGTAATGAAACAGCTGCAATATAGAGACTACCAGGAGTCATCGCTTCTAGTTCAGCTCGGATGACTTGGCTTATGTCTCATGCACAAGTGCATGTGTGGGGAACTAACCGCACACTCTCCTGGCAGCACCCCGCGCTTCTTTCTCAGTTCTGAATAATGTGAGGTCACATTCACTGGCAGAGCCAAACACACAGGAAGACTCACACGTCATGATTCCCTCTGATTTCCAGGTTCTTGGAGAATTGGTCTGGGCTGATGGGACAGCCACACAACTAAGTCAAGGGGAGGGCAGTGAGAGGGGCTCACCCGATATGGCTTCTGCCCATAGGAAAACGCTTCCCACATCAGCACACCGAAGCTCCAAACGTCACTCTTGCTGGAGAATTTGTAGTAGTTGATGCACTCGGGGGCGTACCATTTCACGGGCCACTTGCCGTGCGTCTGTGCCTGGAAGCGGAGCACAGGAAGATGTGCTGTCAGCAAGCACACGGCTGCGCCTGTGGACACGGCAGCTGGATTATGGGGGCAGCACAAGTGCCTACTGAGGGAGCCATGACAACATGCAGGCACCAGTGATGTGTGCATTGAGCCGGGCACCAGATGAATCCAATGGATCCCGGCTATCAGAACCTGGTCACCCACGCAGGTGTAGGGGCCCAAGGACTTGAGCCAACATCTGCTACTTTCCCAGGCCGTAAGCAGGGAGTTGGATCAGCAGTGGTGCAGCTGGGATGCAAACTGACACCCATATAGGATTCTGGCAGAGGCTTAGCTTATTATGCCATTGCACAGACCCTAAAAAAACACTCTCAAAAATGACTATCAAATCTTAGACTCTTTTTTAGTAGGTGTTTAATGTAACAGTCAAGATGCTTGTTAAGCCCATGGGTTTGATCCCTGGCTCTAGATCTTGACTCCAGCTTCCTGCTAATGTGTACCTTGGGTGGCAGCAGGCGATGGCTCCACTGTATGGGTCCCTGACGCTCATGTGGCAGCTCAGATTGAGTTCCAGGCTCCTGGCTCCAGCCTAGCCTAGTCCTGGGCAAGTGGGCATTTGGGGAGTGAACCACCAGAAGGGCATACTCACTCTCCCTCGTTCTGTTTCTCTGCATCTCAGATAATTACAGAAAAACAACTGAAATCTTTAAGCACGCGCAGCTTCACGAGGTACACAAGGCAGAAGGGGTCGGGCCTGAGAATCACTTCCTGGGTGCTGCTTCCAGAAGCACGGGCTGTTCCCAAAGGATATTGAACTACCGTGGCTTTGCCTACGCTGTTAGGCCAATGATGATTATTGTAGCAAGACTAGGGTGCTTGCATCATTTCAAGACGCCTAATTGCCCAACTTAAAAAGCCACTGGTAATTAAGAGACCAAGGCTGCGTGACTGAGGCATTAGCCCAGGGTCTGGGGTTTAAGGAGAGCACTGCAGAGTGGTGCCATTTTGCAGTGCCACCTGGGGAAGCCTACGGGGAGGGGATTTCACTCCACCATAGCGGGTCCTAAGGGGCACCTGGTGGAATGGCTCAGGAGACTCGAAGGTTCCCTGAAACTTCTGTTTCTAAAATTATTTCATGCAAACCATCTTGTTTATCCTCTTTACTACCGTGGTGAAGTGCTTGTTCTTGGGTGTCCTGGTGCTCCCCAATCTAGGCTATGGCTTCCTGTGGTCTCAATACAATCTCATGAAGCTGTCTAGTGGATTTCAGCTTCTTTCTGAGAGTTCCTGTCAATCGCTTGTCCTCCACGCGCTTCCTTAGCCCGCTGAGCACTACCAACTCTCACCCCTTGCCAGACGACGACCACTGCAGGGAGGCACTTGGGCAGGAACCCACAGTTCCTCCTCCCCATCGCCACATCTGCCCATCACTGCCCCTGGCCCCTGACATGCATCCTGCCACTCACCGACGGTCCCTAAGAGAATCCTGTGTTTCTGAGGGCTTGGTTATTCCCAGAAACGTGCCACGGGCACCCTTTCCCCCACTTCCTAGATTCCCATCCCATCCTGGCTCCCAGTCTGCTACAGGTCTCAGGTATAACTGTGGTTGAGTTTATACAAAGATGAGATTTCTTGTTTTCCCGCCTTGTGCTAGTTATTAAGTTCATTCCAGGGCTCAAAGACGGGCAAAATCCCATGAGCAGCTGGAGATGGTCACGTACACTTATATTTTAGGATGTGCCTAGGCTGGGATTGATGTGATGTTTCCCAAGAAATCTATCTTTAATTCTCTATAGCTTCTGCCTCCACTGACAGGCAGCACACTGCTTATGAACCTCATCCACAGCACCTTGACGTTTGTGTTCCATTCAACACTTCAATTTCTTTGCATATCAATTAAGCCAGTAGAGCAATTTCCACATGAAGCCCCATTCTTGTCACTGGGAGTAGATGACAAATTTATTCTCAGCTTCGTTTTCCAACTTGTACGTGTAAAGGAAGCTGTTCACTAAGCAGGTGCTTTGCCATGGGTCCAGACCTACATGCTACGGAACAGTGTCCCATAAGCTGTTATTAGACATCTCAGGGGAAAAGCAGTCCGTGGATGAATTAAGTCTCAGCAACTCCGCATGCCAGAAGCCTCTGCTGAGAGCATGACAGGAGCCTGCACAGCTCCTCCACTAATCTAACACACGCTTGAGAGAGTGGCTTAGCGACAGGATCATTCTTCTTGTTTTCAACATGAATCATCCGCTAATATCATGATTCCTTACTATTCTGTGGGACATAACCCAGAAGACACTATGCGGAGTAAATCTCAAAGTGTGACATACTAGAATGTTTCTATTTCTCAAAGAAACGTTTCTTTGTTTGAAAGGCAGAGTTAGAGAGAGAGAGAGGGAGAGAGAAAGAGACCTTCTATTCTGGCTCATTCCCAAATACCCACAACAGCCAGAACTGGAGCAGACTGAACACAGAAGCCAAGATCTTCCAGATCTGCTCCATGGGTGGCTGTTCTCCACTGTTCCCCCAGCTGGATCAGAAGTGGAGCTGCCAGCACGTGAACTTGTGCTCACGAGGGACGCCGCATTGCAGGCAGCGCTTCAACTCACATAGCACTGGCTCCAAGTGTCTGTATTTTCAATAGGTTAAAGCTTAATAAAACGATTTCAAGTAGTATTTTCTTTTTAGAGAAATTGCTTCTTAAAACCTTGCCACGGCAAAATAACAACCTTTGCCTTTGTGTTCTCGTGACGTGACACGGAGCAGTCATCGGGTCATTCCTACCTTGTAGTAGTTTTCATCGGCCCTGAGCGCCTTGGAAAGCCCAAAGTCGCTGATCTTGGCGTAATGTTGGGTGACCAGCAGCACGTTTCTTGCAGCCAGATCTCTGTGCACAAAATTGCACTCCTCCAAGTACTTCATCCCCATGGAGACCTGATGAACCAACTCTATGATGTTCTTGTCCTTGACGTGCCTGCAAGTCAACAACGGTGCCATGAGCAGCCATTTCAGAACAAAGGAACCACACTCCTCCCGGGGCGACAGATGAATCTGCTGAGTGCTGAGTGGTGACCTGTGACCTTGCCAGCGCACAGCACTGCAGGACTGGACACGGGTCTCCTGCTCACAGGACCTGGTCTGCATATTCCCACACAGCTGTTCATCCCTGGCTCATGGACTACCTTGCTCCAGGTGAAATCCTTGCTCCAGGCTCGGGTGGGGACAAAGCCACCCTGTGTCTCTGTTTCCTGTCTGTGCGGGAGAAGCAGCAGCGCTCCTTTCCACAAGGAGTGAGATGAAACAGAGGCCCGATGCCTAGAGCAGAATGGGCTCTGATGGCCACAGCCAAGTGCCTATGATGTAATTTAGAGCAACTTCACGCAGGACCAGGGGTCAGCCAAGATGACCAGGGGTCAGCCAAGACGAACAGGGGGAGGAACACTGGGCCCAAGACCCCACCCTGAAATCCTTCAAAAATGTGAACATTTTCAGCACTGATACGATGTTCTAAGAGAAAATTTGATAGCACGAGACTCTGTTTGAACCACAAAATTATGAAAGGTGCTGTAGCAGTGATTCTGTGTATAAACTGCACATGAAACATGGATTTCATGTTTAGACTTTTATTCCATTCTTTTTTTTTTTTTTTTTTTTTTAAAGATTTATTTTTATTATTTTTTCATTGGAAAGGCGGATATACAGAGAGGAGAGACAGAGAGGAAGATCTTCCGTCCGATGATTCACTCCCCAAGTGAGCGCAACGGGCCGATACTATGCCGATCCGAAGCCAGGAGCCTCTTCCGGGTCTCCCACGCGGGTGCAGGGTCCCAAAGCTTTGGGCCGTCCTCGACTGCTTTCCCAGGCCACAGGCAGGGAGCTGGAAGGGAAGCGGGGCTGCCGGGATTAGAACCGGCGCCCATATGGGATCCCGGGCGTGCTAGGCGAGGACTTAGCCACTTGCGCCACCGCGCCGGGCCCTGTATTTCATTCTTAAGACACTTCACTAGATGGGTAGATATACACAAATATCCCCCAATTCAAAACCACATCTGGCACTAAGTACTTTGAATAGGAGACACTTAGCCTGAATGAAACCTAACATTATCCCTTAGAAAACATTCACTTTAAACAAGCTGTATCCTAGGGCCACCACTGTGGTACAGCATGGTCCAGTCCAATCACAGCTGATGCAGCCTTCTGACAGGTGAATCGACATGTGGAAGATCTTTCTACCTCTGTCTGTTTCTCTCTGCCTTTCAAATAAATAAACAGATACATTTTTGCGGAGGGGTGTGTTCTTCCTCGTGAAGAGGCATTTTTGTTTTTCCTCGAGGTTTGTTCCTGAATCAGTATAGGCAACTTCAAAAAGATCACTGAAAAGGTCAAGTGAAAGATGCTTATGTGGATGAGACAAGAAATTCACAAGTAAGTTTTCCATAACACACGTTTCCAACTTTAACAATGTTTATTTTGTTGAAAGGCAGGAAGGCAGGATGCATGCGGGTGTGTCCATGTGTGCGCACACACACACACGTACAGAAAGAGACAGCGGCAGAGAGAGGAGCTCCTGCTCACGGGTTCACTCCCCATACTGCCGCAGTGGCCTGCGCTCGGCTGCAGTAAAGCAGGAGCCTGGAGCTCCGACAGAATCTCCTGCATCGTTGGCCGCGGCCCAAGTGCTTGGGTCATCTTTAGCTGCTTTCCCAAGTGCTTCAGCAGCGAGCAGCCAGGACTTGAGTTGGCACACCAATGAGAGGAGGTGCTGGCACTGCCCGCCGTGTCTTAACAACCTCTGCGCCACAATGCCAGCCCACTCTACCCCATCAATGGTTTCAAATATTATTTGTGTGTGTGTTTGGGGGCACGGGCAGCAACATAGTGAGTTCAGTCACATGGCTTATTCATCCCCAAATCCAAACGGTGATCAGGGCTATGCCGGGCTAATGGCAGGAGCTAAGTCAACGTAGGTCTGTCACGTGGTAGCAGGAATCCAATCACTGATTTAGACCTCATCTGCTGCCCTCCAGGATATACAGTGACAGCAAGTTGGAGTCAGAATGAGAGGCATCAAACTCCCAAAACATTCCAATGTGGGCACTGGTACTTTACCAGAAAGGCCACCTGCCTGCTTCTGCACAAACTTTTTGAAGACCACTTAGATGCAATGAGTAAAAGGGAAGAAAGCATATAAAATTGCCGCCTTTGTGTTTTTCTCTGAGCACCAAGAACCAAAGGAGTTGGATCCAGACTCTCATCTCCCTCACTCCTTCTTCCACAGTCCCTGAGCGAGGACCACTCTAGGAACGCCCCCCCCACGGAATTCGTGTTGGAAAGCAGGTGGGAAAGTAGGCCCCGCCCCTCCCGGCACCTGCGGATGGATACCTGTTCTGCTGCAGATACTTATTGAGCGGGCCAAGTTCCGCCATCTCCATCACCAGCATCCAGGACTCAGCCTCGCAGATCCCGATCATACGCACGATGTAGGGGTTGTCCAGCTGCTGCATGACGTTGGCTTCCGCCAACAGCTCGTCTTTCAGGGCGGGGTCGTTGGCCTCATTCTTCAGGATTTTCACAGCCACTGTCTTCACCACTCTGTCAGGGAAATCGTAACGCATTAATCTTCACAGACTGCCTTGCCTCCATGTCTAGCCTGAGCATCCCTGACCCAAAAGGCTTGGGACCACAGGAGACTCCTCATTTCAGAATGCCTGTACACACACAGTGAGTTAGTACGGGTATGAATGGGACCTGAGTCTAAACAGAAAATCCATTTATGCTTCACAACCACCTTACACAAATGCCCTACCCTGAATTTTACATGTATAAAGGAAATTCCAAAAGTTAGCAAATGGTGACAATAAAAGGTAAGCTTTTTTTTTTGATGCAAAAAATTTGAAATCCATGCATACAACGGGTCTTTAAAAAGATGATGAAAAAAATTTAACACGAAGCAACTATGCCTGGATTTCAAAAATGTTGTGCCAAAACACGCTTATCTTTAAATTCTACTCTTCAGTGAAGTTTCTGGAATATTCTTTCATTTTAATTCATTTTTTAAAGATGTATTTATTTGAAAAGCAGAGAGAGGAAGAGAGATCTTCTGTCAGGTGGCTCACTGCCCAGGTGGCAGCAGCAGGGAAGCCCTCTGCCTGGGCTTCCCTCCCTGCATGTGGAGGCCTAAGGTCTTGGGCCATTGTTCACTGAGTGCCCAGGCCCTGAGCAGGAAGCTGCATTGGAAGTGAAGTTGCTGGGACTCCAACCGGCACATGGGATGCTGGTGCTGCACACGAAGGTTTATAACAAAACTGCATCTTCATGGAAAGTCCAAAGTGGAGACTAGAGCTATCCAACATAACAGGTGAACTAAGAACCACGTGTGCCTGACACACAATTTACTGTTGTTGCTAAATGAACACGCCTGTGCCTCCCACACAGCTGGATTCAGAACGTCTCCAGCACCCAGGAGCCTCCCTGGCTATCTGCGAGACCAGGAAAGTCACATTTGAAGACCTCTCCAGTTGCCTTATTCCTGTTTCAATTCTCTTGTCTCAGTGGTCTCTCATCCAATTTGTTACACGGTGTGAGATGGTGTGAGAAGCAGACGGGGCTGACACAGTGGTTCAACTGGCTAATCTTCTACCTGCACGCACCCATATTCCACACCAGGTCATGTCCTGGCTGTTTCTCTTCCCATCTAGCTCCCTGCTTGTGGCCTGGAAAGCAGCAGAGGACGTCACAAAGCCTTGGAATCCTGCACCCGTGTGGGAGATGCAGAAAAGGGTCCTGGCTTTTCTGGCTTTGCACTGGCTCAGCTCCGGCCATTGTGGCCATTTGAGGAATGAATCAGCAAATGGAAGACTTCTGTCTCTCCTTCCCTCTGTAAATCTGTCTTTCTAAAAAAAATAAAATAAAAGTAATCACCTCCACGCATCTTCCGGAAATGTGGCAGGGGGAGATTTCCCGACTCATTCAAGAAGACCAGCAACCCTCATGCCAATGCCAGATTGCGAAAAGAACTGACTGGCATTCTTCATGAACTTAGATACAAACATTGCAGGAGATATCACTATAAAGTCAAGACTTATGAAATGGATACAATGCATTGTGAACAGGAAGGGTTTACTCCTAGCATGCAAGTTGGGTGCAGCATTTGAAACTTAATCCCGGGCATTCGCCGTAGTGTTTGCTGCAAAGGAGAACAAACGTATGGTCATGTCGGTAGAGAAGATGCCGGAATCTCCCAGCAAAACAAGATGGAAGGAGACTTCTTATATCTGACACCTGTAACGAATGCCCTATATCGTGCTGGTGTAGCGACAGCTCTCCCTGCCTAAAGCAGGAAGGAGGCAACCGCCACTCTTGCTCCACACTGAACAGCAGCTCCCAGCTAGTACAGCCAGGCAAGGACAAATGCAAGGAAGCGTGAGATTGAACATGATGAAATCAGCCCACCGTTAAACACAGATGACAGATTTTGGATCACAAAATACCTTAACTATCTACTAGAAATAACAAGGGAAAAACACGTAAATTCAGCGACATTGCTGGCTGTCGGGCTCACGTATCGGGTGTGGAGACCACTTTCTCCGCCAGTGGATACGTACAGCATCATTCTTGTGCCATACAACGCTATCAGCCGCAAAGTCAACCTGCCGCAAATCTACTGAAATTCAAGTCCTGTCTGCAGTTGTCTTAGCAGGCCAGATGAAATTTGGCCCTGATTTCACGGGTCTTGTATGGCCATGGGACTGGACATGTCCTGTACCTCTGCCCTCTGTGGTAAAATTAGCCATATTTCAATATCCAACTAATGTCGAGGATTAGGATATAGAACTGTCAGAAGAGGAACTGCACAGGTCAAGGTCAAAAGTAGCCAACGCGTAAGGCTGATTCTAACCCAGGTTTGTCTAGACGTCTGCACTGCACACCAAGCGATTCCATGGCAGGAGCAGAGAGGCTGCAGACCCGAGCCGATGGAGGAATGGCCTGGGTCCACTGACGGAAGACAGTGTTGCAAGGACGGCATCCTGAATCACAGTCCCACTGACTTAAACATCGCAAACATTCCTAAACTGGGAGAGGGTACTCGGTAGTACGCAATAAGGGGAAGCTTGCATTCCTTGTACCACGTGACTTTGATGCACACAGAACAAGTAGCACGGCCAAGCTAGAGAGCATGTGGCAATGTGGTACACACACACACACACACACACACACAGTACAGCCAAGCTAGAGCATGTGCCGACACGGTACACACATCCACACAAATACAACACAGCACGGCCAAGCTAGAGAGCACGTGGCAACGTGGTACACACATACACGCAAATACAACACAGCATGGCCAAGCTAGAGAGCATGTGGCAACGTGGTACACACATACACACAAATACAACACAGCATGGCCAAGCTAGAGAGCATGTGGCGACGTGGTACACACACAGCACACACACCATGGTCAACCATGTGCATTTAGACATGGTACACACACGTGAAGGGCCTAGCCTGGAAACAAGAGGTCATAGGACTACTTTTGTGGATGATTTGCTCTGCAAATAATGCAAATAGTCCACTTACAAGACAGGTCGACATTACATTGAAAATAGCATGGAACAATTAACCTGAGCCTCACTCCAGCCAGTCCCAATTCGAAGGAGGGTTTTGTCTCAAGGGACTTCAGAATTCAGCATTTCTGCTCAACAGTCTAGATGGGTTGCCTTCTGAAGCGCCAATGAAACACAAAGGTAGTTTAAAAAATGAACAGTTTGAGCTGTGACAAATGTACTGATGTTTAAAATTACAAGATAAAGCAACTATATAATTAGTCTAATTACATTTTGGAATAGGAATTTTTCTGAGAAAAATGAGATGCAATTAAAAATCAAAGGAAACATGAAAATGCTGCCTTGTTATTCAATTGTCAAATTTCAGTTAAATAATGCACATATGTATGTGAGCGTGTGAAAAGCTACACACCCATATACACGCTGAAATTACTCACGGCAGTAGTGTCCGGGTGCCACAAACATGATGACCTTACCTTTTTTTTTTTTTTCATTTCTGCTTGCTTCTATTCCCTAATTTTCCATAATGCACAAATACTCCATTTGACCCCAAATAAGTTATCCCGTGGTTAATTTACATACCAGTACACTCATTACAAGTACACTGGAAGCGAATAAAAATTATAACGTTAGTAGGCATGCTCTGGTAAATACTGTGTTTGGGATTAAGCACACGGAACAGACACATCCAGGATGCAACCTGGATGAGGACAGGTGCGGGGAGGATGGATCGGACCAACTTACTTCTTCATCTGGTAGTAGCCCTTCTTCACGGTCCCGAAGTTACCAGAGCCCAGCTCTTTGTCTTCCAGGGTCAGCAGCTTCCGGTCCAGGTAGACCTCTTTGGGCCTGATCTCTTCAGGGTCGGCGTAGGGGCTCTCATACACCTCCGTGTCCATGGGCATGGCTTCCCTCTGGGGCCCTGCAGCACAGCGCAGAGTCCATCAGGAAGGGTCCACTGGGTGCAACACTTCCCTCCTGTAGCGCATCTGTTGAGGATCTCACAGCAAGCGAGCGCCAGGACCTCAGGACCAGGGGCATCCAGGAATCGGTCACACACACACCAGGCTACCCAGCAGTGCAGTCAGCGTTAGCCATGGTGCACCACGGTGGCTTTCCTAACTGTGTCAACTCTGGCATGCCTCAGGAGTGAACATGTGACTTTCGAGGTGAGCCCATGGCAGGGATAAAAATGAGCAGCGCTACCATCTGGTGCCCTGTGGCCCTAAAGGCTCCTGTGGCTTTGCTGGACACCCTCCTCTTGAAGCCTTCAGATTCCATCAAACAGGACCTCCCTAAGATTACATATGTGAAAAAGCTCATCCTGGAACACCTGTAGAGACCACCCACAGAGGGCCAGGGACTCAGAAGATGCTGAGCTGTCCCCTGCTCCCCTGGTTCCACGCCTGCTGGCCCAGCTCCTGCCACGGTCTGATGACCACAGACTCTGAACTACAACTGTCCAGTTGAGCCTGGTCCAGATCAGGCATTAAATGACCTTATAAGCAGATCTACCTAAAGAATAAAAGCTTGGGCGTTTTACGGGACAGAGAAAGGGCATCCCAAGGGCTTGTGTTTGGTGAGGAATATTGAGTTGCTCACGGGTATATATCTTCCTGAACCATGACCTTTCATGTTATTCCGCAAGCACATGGAGAACTCTAGAAACTCAGTCATTCCTTCACCCATGACTATATCTTCTGCAGACTGTGACAGCATCTTTCCAAGAGTACAACCCTCACGGAAATGTAAGCCTAAGGAGCTGCAAGGAATTCCGAGGAAGCAACAGGGGTTTGTCAACTTAGCCAATTGACAGAGAGGGAGGGGCCCAGGGCAGAAATGCGTTTCCTTCTACGGAGCGCACCTGCTCCTGGACATGCGACACCTACTGCTGGCCGCTAGATGGCAGTGCTGCTTACTGCTAACCAGCAAGGTACAGCTTGCAACTACAGTCAGCAGGTTCTTGAGCCGACCTGCAAGCTTCAAGCAGCAGATGCTACACGCTACGAACATCAAAGTGCATCTCTCACCTCTTTCGGCTGCCCAGGGCCCTCGTTCTGGCTCGTAAGGATTGAATGAGACGCTGTTCTCAGGCCGGTTTCCTTGGGACGGGGGTGCCTGCAGGACACACGTGAGCCACAGGTCATTTTCTCTCATGCACACACGTCTTTTTATATTCCAACAGCCGCGTCTCAACTTGCACGGGGCAGACAAGAAGCGAGCGAGGAAAACAGGCAAGGAAAGACTAGCATGAGCTCGTTTTCCGGGTGACGGGATACTCTGAGGCCTGAGCAAAGCTGGAGCTGCGTAAGCCAGGGCATGGTCAGGTCTCCAGGGCAGTCACAACGCTCTGCTCCGGCAGAGACCTGCCCGCCGTACCGTCCCTTCAGCTGCTTCCACCTGCCAAAAGCGTGCAGGGACTTCTTGTACCCACTGCCTTTATTTTTCACTTCGGACTCTTTCCCTTCAGTTTCATCTTCTTATGGGCATACACTTTATGAAGATAACTTAAAACAGACAATTAAATAAGCAGCTCCCACCTACTCCCCCACTCCCCAGGATCAGGGTGCACCCATGTCCCCACATGGATCATTGTCTTGTGGATGACGTGGCAGCATCTGGGTCCAGGTCAGAGGTGGCGCCGGTGCACTCCAGATTCTGAAGGGCAAAGGCAGGCTAGCTGCCACCCTCCTGGGAACAACACGGGCCACTACTGCGAAGGACAGCAGTCCTGGGTCTTGGGACAAATCACCCTCTCTGTTCACCTGTTGGAAGCTAAGTCTGCCTGGTCCCCGAGCGCGAGGGAATGGGGCACGTCGGAAGCAATGCTTTGCTGGCCATCAATCACCATCACTAAATACACCAGCATGAATTGCAGATACTCCATCGACAGTCTACGGCAGGAAATGATGGGGGGAAGCCTGCTCCCTGCATGCCAGAGGAAGTTTCCTTTTGCAAATTCTTGCATTTGCAGTTTGCTGGCCCTCACCCCCTAAGTTACAGCAAGCTTTCAATGCGACACGCAGGTCACAGGAAAACCACTATTCAAAGTCCATCCGCCTGCCCACCCGCCCGGCCAATTTTCAAGCAGCTAAACAGCAACTTCATATCCATGGCCCTTATCAGTGCCCAAACACCGGCCACAAAGATGTGAGATAACGCCTGGTCAGAGCAGAAATCTGAACACATCACGCAAGCCCTTGTCTGGCGATCCACACTGAATTCGCCTGTGTTATGCTGATATTACAAGCCAGATGCCAACATGATGGCGTCACCACACGATTCCCAGCCTCCTGACGTCCATCTCCCATGCTGGATGCAGAAGGCCATGGAGGCTGGCGTTGCTGGCAAAGCCCCTTTCCAGGATGCTCAAGGGCAAGTGCCTAATCACATGCAGTATTGTCCAGCCCACAACCGCCAGGCTCGCTCTCAGCACGCCTCCCGATGCGTTTAACAGAAACAGCTAGAGGTCAGCATGATGTCTTAATTGGTTCACTGGTACAGAATTCCAAGGCTTTGGGCCGTCCTCCACTGCTTTCCCAGGCCATAAACTGAGAGCTTGATGGGAAGCGGAGCAGCCAGGACACAAACCAGTGCCCACATGGGATGCGGGCACCCGCCATCCAAGTTCAGGTTAAAAAAAGTCTTTAAAAAAGTTTCTGTCCTCCCACTGCACTCCTTTATTTCCCCACAGGAAGGGGCATTTTGAGGTTCACAGAGCAGATCTGAACGGCCGGTGAAATTAAAAGGCATAGCCTGACCGGGCTCCCCACACAGGGAGAGACGACCAACTCTCCTGTAACACAGGGCGTCCTTCCTGCCCTCTGTCCACTTGGGACACTGTCCTAGGCTACAGCCTTTCCATCCTTGGAGTTTTCTGCAGAGCAACAGGGGTTCAAATCCTGAAGGCAATGTTATGTGTAAAGGAACTTTAAAACAAAAAGTAGAACAGCTATTACAAAAAAAAAGATACTGGAGAGCGCCTCAGGGTCTGAGGGGTAAGAATTAGCAGTGATTCCTGGGATATGAGTGAGGCACATTCTCGGGGGGTTAGGGGAATGCACCCCGAATGCATCTTGGCCTACAGACCAAGAGACAAGTGTGGGAGCTCTTTCAGCCAGTAAACCGGCACCCCATGTTTCACCAATATGGCTGAGGGCTTCACTTCCCATAATTTCCAACGCACAGAGCCGTGCAGCGATGGGCGACCGTGACCCAGCCACCAGCAGCTCCCGTGGCTCTCAGCAGAACACATCTGTCTCCTCTACCTGCACCCCTCCCCCATTCCGCTCTGCTGACCGGTGGGGGCGAGGCACCACACTGGGGGAGTGTTCAGTGGGAGACACGGGAGGTTTCTCACTGCACTAGTGGGAAGGCAGGGATGTGAGGGGATCAGAGCCCGGATGACACGCAGTGTTGGGGAACAGTGCCTGACTCCACCTGCATCAGCAGGTGCTGCACCGTGAGGGTTTTGGGAAGAAGGCGCACAAAGTTACAGGCTAGTTTGCTGGCTATGATTTACATGTTAATAATAAAATCCAGGGCCCGGCGGCATGGCCTAGCAGCTAAAGTCCTTGCCTTGAATGCGCCGGGATCCCATATGGGCGCCGGTTCTAATCCTGGCAGCCCCGCTTCCCATCCAGCTCCCTGCTTGTGGCCTGGGAAAGCAGTCGAGGACGGCCCAAAGCCTTGGGACCCTGCACCCACGTGGGAGACCCAGAAGAGGCTCCTGGCTTCGTATCGGCATAAGGCATAACATCGGCCGTTGCGCTCACTTGGGGAGTGAATCATCGGACGGAAGATCTTGCTCTCTGTCTCTCCTCTCTGTATATCTGACTTTCCAACAAATAAATAAATCTTTAAAAAATAAATAAATAAAATAAAATCCTCAGGAAGCAGAGATTCCTGTTCCACATGCCTGCTGCCTGTCATTGGTCTTCCTGCTTGGTGTGAGATCAGTCAGGCACTACCGTGCCTGCACAGAGAACAGCGGGTGGAAAACAAAACGCCAACAGTCCCTTCCCCTGCAGTTCTAACAGCGCTCAAATCAGGAATACCACCAGAGGGCGCCAGCTATCTAGCCTTTAACTTTTCAAACCAGGTACTAATGGGTGGGTCCACAAAAGGACTAAAAATCAAATTCAATTATAAACGAGGATTGAGCCTTGATCTCTTAACGGTAGGGCTTAACAAATATCAAAAGATGCATCTGAGTGCCTATGTTTAAGAACTTAGCACAGAATTAATTTTATTTTGGTGTCCCCCAATCTGAAATCCTTGTAGCCAATGGGCTGCCAAGAGAGGGGATGAGCCAGTCGCTTTACAGCAAAGATCTATGTGGTTCCTATCATCGCACTCCATGTTCCCCACGGCCTTGGTTATGGCTTTATGGTTTAGCCATCGCCAAGGAACAGGGAGTGGAGGATTCCTTGCCTTTCTCCCAGCTGAGTCCTGGCTACTTGGCCACTTAAGCATACATTTTGAAACACTGCCATCTGTGTGTAAGTGGAAATCCTGGGACACGTTTCTTTTTCTGTTACAGTGTCTCATACCAGGCACCTTTGAGGCGCAAAGTGTGCAGGCTGGGCAACGTGTGCAGGCTATCTTCAGCTCTGCAGGATGCTACGGTGCAAGTCCTGCCCAGGTCCCCTGACTAAAGGGAACACAGAGAAAAACCCAGCCCTAATCGATGGAGGGTTGTTTTTGCTTTGTTGTTTTTTAATCTCAGCACTACCTGCACTTGTAACTTTTCGCTAAATCTATTTCCAATTTGTAAGGATGAACACATGACTGTTTCTAAAAGTGTAAAATGCACCTGCGTTTGGTTTTCATTACGAAAATATCAAATTAGTTGCATAATCTCAGAAACCAAATATGCCATTCACAAACTACCTAGATGCTAGCGCCAACTCAGGCTCTTACATGCTTTTTTTTTTTTGCCTCTGAACGGTTAAAAACAACTAATTACTCCGAGCACATGAACAGGTTCGACCAAGTTCTTCAACCGTCAGCTTAACAGATGAACAACTGACATCCCGTGCACAAGCGTTTTCTTACGACTGACTAAATAATGGCTGGTTGCTCGTCTGTGAAAACACACACACTACTTCTTCTAGCATATTCCTTGCAAACAGCTGAAACATTTTCAGTTCACAGCGCCCTCAGGAACTCTGCCTGGCCTCCGGCTGGCTGACTTCTACGGAAACTCACCAGCTATGTCCAAACCGTTACACATGTAAGTAGGCAGCACTCGGGCTTTGCTCTTGCTCCTCCACCCTTTTCAACTTTTTTTTTTCTTTTTGGCCAGGAAAATATTTTCATTATATTAATTACATGCATTCCTTTCTGATATTTGAATTGCCCGCTTTAAAAAATTGATTTGAAACTTTTATCATGGTGTCGGAGCCTTAAGCAGACCTGGGCAAACGGGGTGACTAACGCATTAAGATTGCGTGTTGCTACGCCCTCTTAACCAGGCCTCCATGGCAACCGGGCAGGAGCCAGCCAGCGATACAAACATTTTGTGCTGCTTAGCAGGTCCTTAGAACTGACACATTTTCTACTGGGTAGCTCCTCGACTGATGGCACTGTTGTGTAACCTGGCACAAAAGGAGCCAGCTCTTGCGGGCCACGGCTGCCGCTGTGTTCCGGTCACCTCTGAACAGTAATTGTGGTCATGCTTGCAAGGTTTTCTCTCCTGCCTCTTAACAACCTCTCTCGTGGGCACCGGACTTCCCCTTCCAGTCCCCACAGACACAGACGGCAAGTCTTTTCAATAATTCAACGTGTGTGTGTGTGTAGATGTGCATATGTGATGGGTGTGTGTCACGCCTGTCCATGAAATCAACCTCCACATGCATGGAGATACGCCTCTATGGATATATACTAGGCTACTGCAAAAAGTTCACAGAACAAATGTAACCACACGATACATTTATTCAGTTATTTTGGTGAGAAGAAAATGGCTGAGATTCACAGAGTTTCTTAATGCTCTGTATTTTCCATGAACTTGTTGAAGATTCTTTGATGTGGCTGCAGGTAAGTCCACGTATGCACAGATGTACATGTGTAGGTGTCAATACGTATGTGTGTGCATGTCACATAAGGACTCTACATGCATGCGTGTCTAACAAGCAATTTCCTATTGCTCAAGCTTACTGGCTTGAACTGAGCGATAAACCTGGATACTGCAGAATTAAGATAAACATGATTTGCTTCTTCTGTTCAGGATGAAACGATTATTCCCTGCTGGGACTGCGCCTGGGCTCACGACTTACTGGTCCACAGGCTGCAGGTCATGCTGAACAGCAAGGAGCAGCAATTAAAAAGTGACAGTATGATCCGGGAGGTGGCCAAAGGGGTGGCAAAGGGGTGAGGTGGTGGGCACCACACAGCTTTCTCGTGTCCAGGGAAACTGCAGAACACACAGCCTTCCACTGATAACCACTGTACCTCGCGAGTCTCACTGCTGACCCCTGGTGGTGCATGCGTGCATTTCATGGATTGAGCATCACAACCTTGAAAAGATGTGTCATCCCTGAAAACAGCTTGAACCAGATGCATAGTGAAGCAGCACCTGTGTCCTTCCCACTGGGTGAGGGCCCAAGCGGAAGGGAAGGTGCTGGCTGCCCAGGGAGGGTCGGGGCAGTCCGCGGCTTCGGGGTTAGGGAGCTTTGCCGCCTGCACAAGTCCAACCCCCTTCTGTTCTATGGGACTAGCCTCGTCTCCAGCACAAGTGTCAACTGGGGCAAAAATCTCGGGCACTTTATGACTTCCGTATCTGCTGTTCTAATGCAGGCAATGTACTCCACGAGTCCATGCAAATACTGGGAAGCACATGTTCATAGGAAGTGAGGAAGAATTATTGATAAGGATGGCACTATCTCATTGATGGCAAAGGCAGAGAGTAAAAAGCAACCTGCACATGTCATTTATGTGAAGATGTATCCACATGTGCATGTGTGTGTGTGTGTGTGTGCCTGAGCAGCTCACTACAATAAGAGTCATTAGAAGAAGGCAGCTGTGAGGCGGGCCTTTGGCACAGGGCTGAAGGTGCCATGTGGGATGCCCGTGGGATGCCCACATCCTGCAGCAGAGCGCCTGGGCTTGAGTCCCCGCTCCATTCCCAATTCCAGCTTCCTGCTAATACACAGATGGTGGTTCAAGTACTGGTGTCCCTGCCACCTCCATGGGAGGCCCAGGAGGAAGTCCCAGCTCCCCTGTAACTGGAGAGCTCCGGCTCTTTCAAACAAATCCATGAAACATTTAAGGATAAACACGAGGGGACAAGCATGTCTATTTCTCTAAAAATTTGACCATAAAGCAAAATCTAGAGTTCCATCAGATGCCAACATTACTGCCTCTCTCTCTATATATATATTTTTTTTCTTCTAATTCTCTGTGTATCATAAAGTTCTTTGTGTATTAGATATCAGTGCGTGACACTGGGAGTTAGGGTAAGTCATCAGACAGGATGGCACGTTCTAACAGCACCAACGAAGCCCTCGACACAGCCAGCCTCACCCACCTGAAGTGCTCACCGTGTAGTTCACCTTTCAACTGCACAGGGAGCACCATTCCTCCCAACGCCATGCATACAACCTCTTACCTTCATGGGGCAACCCATGACGCTGGCAACCAACAGTCAGCTGATTGTCTCTGAGAAGATGTGCCATCATGAGAATCGGCTGGCACGACCATGCTCACTGCCATGACTTCACAGCTCCATGTTAGCAGAGCGCGGGTGAACACAGATGCATGGCACTGCATGTAGCTCAACTGGGGAACCACATGAAAAGCTCAGCATGCACGTATGGTCTAGACTGCCCGGGCTGGCAGGTGCAAGTGAGGGCTGCACATGGCTGAGGCGTAGAAGCATTGCACAAGCAACAGGAGACGTATATGCAGCACAGGGCAGGCCAGGCAGCCGGGCACGGGCTGAGCGAGCGTCAGGCCTACCACTCGGGGACAGCAAGCAGGGCACGTCTTAGCACCTTTTTGTGGCCAGATTTTGGGAAGGTGTAGGATCTGATTCTGGAGATTATTCCACCTGCCAACCACGTCTAGAAACCACAAGAGCAAGGAGGAAAAGTCAATTTAGGTTTGGAAAACAAACACTGGGCACCTGACATGACATGGTATCGTGACTCACTTCTGCCATTACACCACTAACCCGTCCACACGCTGCCAGTGAGAATGATCACAGGCAATGCTTGGTCATTTGGGAAGCTTCCAGAAAATTCTACAGCTTCCATAGAAGGACAAAGAAAAAAAAACATTAGGGAAGTATCTACCACTGAAGGCTAGCAAAGGAGAGTTCTGACATTTGACAGCTGATGTTTCTTACATATCAGTAAGTCATACCTCCAGGCAAACCATCCTAAAGAACCCACAGGTACACCTGGCCGTTCAGGGAAATGCTACTGCCTCCCAGGTGTTTGTGTACATACACCAAGTTGCACACTGAGGGTATCGGCAACCTTCTTCTGTTGACTTTTACCGGTCAATAAAAGTGTATTCCCAAGTACTGAAGTGATTGGCTGACACCTGGCTTAACATGCAGCTTGCTAATATTCTAAGGCTTTCAGACCTAAGCTTTCTTCCATCTCCAAGGACGATGTGTTTGCTTCTTGGAACACACAATATTCAAGTTGGGCTGCTAGGCACAGGCCCATGAGTGGTATAAAAGGTCCAACAAAATGTTAACTCTATAAGAATTTCGACCCCAAATCCCCTGGTATTTCAGCTTCCTCTGATCTGAGAAAAAGAAGTTGTTGCCTGGATTGCCTCCCCATTTTCCACATGGGCTCATCCCCAACTGGAGATGTTTCAAAGTCAGCAAACTTCATTGTTCAGGGACGGGCAGCAGGCAAGAAAGTCAGCTGAAGACGGTCTCCTGCCCAGGTGACATTACAGGGCACTCAAAGCCCACACTGAAGTCTGCCCAAAGCAGCAAGGAATCAGTTACTAGGGAATCCTTCCATACCCTCACGGAGGTCCCACCCTCACAGGGGCATCACTCCTGCTTCGAGGGAGCCACCATGGAGGGGTCCCTGAGCCACATTCTCAAGACAAGGGTAGGGTGGTCCCGGCCAAGCTTGCCCCGCTCCATCCTTCCCTGTGGCCTTCTCTTGTCCAAGACCCTGGCAGCCATCCTCATCTCAGGACGCCCTCTACTTGCCTTTAGTTGAACCAAGTCATGCAAATAGCTCAGATTCCCTGGGAGCAGCCTGAGATGTGGTTTGATCCCCCTCCCCAAAACCCAGACCAGCAACCTCAGGGTGACATCCCATCTACCAGGCATGTTACACGGATCATGCATTCATCAGAAGAGGCTCAAGGCTGAACTTGCACATGTGCCCATTTCTCAGATCTAATGGGAGGCCAATTCTGAGGTAACACTGGCTTTCATCTTCACAAATGGCGAGAAGGGAGCCAGCTCAGCCAAGAAAAGGGGACAGCTTGGTGCAGGCTTAGCAGTGCTATCTAACACTGACCAGACACTGATAAACTCCAGTGAGGGGTTTGTTTGCCCACTACACCTATTGGCTGAAAGGCACTTCTCAATCTGTGCTAACAAAGCCTGCCTTTACCTTAAGAGGTATTTCTCATGACACTTACCGCAGGATGGGAGCTTGGAAGTTGTGGACGAGGGTCAAAATCAAGGTTTCCTGATTAGAAAGAGCATGGACAATTATCATGATACTATGAAACCAACTTCTTTCAGATCGATCAGCCTGACTGACATAGTGCTGCTTGGGAAACAGACACACTTTCTGCCCATATTCCTTTCATTCCCCCTTCGCCACCTTTGGCCATTAAAACTTCATTTTTTTCAATGTGAAACTGGTCATCCATTTTGGATCTGTGAGATCAAAAATTGGAGCGATCTGACATCGTATGTTTCACGCATCAAACATCAGGCCTCGTGCAACCAGAACATGTGATAGGACCAGATCTGCACTGAGGCTGATGGTGACCGCTGAGATTCCAGTGACTTGGCAACTCACCTTGCTGTGAACCGATCTTCTGACATGGAACCGTAAGGACCCTTAACAAACCATCGGGTTTGTAGGAATAATGCTCCACAAGCTGAAACGGAAGACAGGGAGAAAGCACAGCTCTTGAGCAGGCAGCACATACAGGCATCACATCTCAGACTCACTCACTGCTCGAGGGGCTTCTAAAGGTGACTCGGGAATCTTCTGTGTTCACACGGCCCTCTCCAGAAACATGGTGGGGCACACTCTGGCACCCCTCCTTGGGTAAGGGATCAGTCAATTTCCCCAGGAAAAGGCCAGTTTGTGATGCTAAGGCTTCTGTGGGCCACATATCATATATCTCTCCCTATATATATATCTCCTATACACCCCATATATATCTCCCTAATCCTCGGGCTTTTATCATTGTAAAAACCACTGCCTTGATGGTCTGCACAGGACCATGCTGGGAGCCACATTTGGTCTGTGGTTTGCAGACCCTGCTGGAAAGAAAAGAACACTTGAACAGGGTCATGCAGTCATTGCCACTCCCAGCAAAACAGAACCAGCGTCCTGGGGTCAGGGTGGAGTATAAAGGCAATTCTGACATACTTTTCCATCCATAGTGGCAAGAAAATACACAGCGAGAAATGTTGAATGAGGCGAGCATGCAAGGGTACAGCAGAGGAATCAGTAAAAATAATGCACCATCTAGGGATGGAACTTTCCAACAAGGAGAGGTACTTAAAACAGCCAGTGCAGAGCCACGCAAATCCAAAGAGGATGCCACACACGAAAAGCAGTCACGTGGCTGGGGTCCACTGGATGTCTTTGCGGAACCGATGGAGCCAGAGGCATATTTCTAAAAAGCTCCGGGGCTGATGATAGTCTGAGAGGCCGCACTGCATACAAAGGGAAGCCCCATCCTATTGATTTTTGAGTCTCTGGGACAAGCAGCCCTGTGGGCCCTGTGCTCTGCCCATCAGGGCTGAAGAGGAGCCAAGCTGTACCTGCCAAAGCGTGTCGAACTTCTTCCCCTCTGGGATGGAGAGCTTCCCAGTCTTGTCTTTGTCGATGCGGTAGTGCAGCACCTTGCCTTCGTGCAGCAGGCACAGGGCATAGGACCCATTGTTGTCTCTGGCCCTGATCCTAGAATACAGGGTGACATTCCATCAGTGCCATCTGGCCAGGTACAGGAGCCGATGGAGATGCACCCCGGCTGGCATGGGCAGCAGGTGCTCCCCAGTGGGGAGAGGCAACTGTGAGCATCTCCCAGCCTCAAGGTCAAGCTCTCTGCCCAGCATATGCAGGAAGGCCTGTCTTACAGGCAGTAGCTGACAACAAGGAATGCTAGTATGTTGGGGTGCGGTATGGCTAAACTCCAGCAGGGTCCTGGGGAGCCCAAGGGGTTAACTGGAAGAGTGTGGGCTTGGGTGGACAACAACACAATCCAGAGTGACTTGCAGGTATGAGTCCACAAGGGGAGCCCACTGCCCTCCTGGGATCTGGGTTTGAATTAGATCCACAAACAGTACAGAGTCAAGCTCCACTGCCTAGCTTGGGGCTGTGAATTGGGGCTGCCCGCTGGGCATTTTAACTGCAAACCGACAGGACCACAGGGGAAGACCTCCCTTCCCCAGTATCAACATCACCCCCTATCTCCCCACGGCTGGCAGGGAAGCATGAGGCTGGGATATAACACACAGCTTAAACTGTGATGCTGCCAGACGAAGTTCTTGAGCGAGAAGGGCACCCCTGTCAAATGGGGGACAGTGGGCAATATCACAACCACACTGTCCCCATGGGTCACCTTCAGTGTGCCCTGCTGCATGGCTTGGTCATCAGAGCCCTGGAGCTTGGTACCAAGCATATGAACATACCCCAGTCATCCCTGAGAGGAGCTGCTTCTGATCCTAGGGGAGGCAGCAGGCCCGCCAGAAGGACATTGGGGAGCTAAGAGACGGTGCGGTCTAGGGGGTGGCCGCAAATCCCCCACAGTAGCTTCATGCCCTTCACCCTCCGCAGCCCATCTCACTCTTTTGGGCAACTCCAGACCTTCTGATCCCACCTGTCAGTCAATGACACCTTCCAGGAGGTACTCCCTTCACCTGGGACCTCTATCCCTCTCTCTTTTGCCTTCCTCTTTCTGAACACAGCCCACGTGTGATTTCCTTACTTTTTAAACAAATGTCGTAACTTCGTACACTGTGCTTCGGATGTGTCTCTAAGTCAGAGACAAGAGCTTGAGACGGGGACTTCAGACCCCATCTAGCCCACCACAAACTGACTCCCCAGCTCCCTGCTTCGGCCTGGCCAGCTCGGGCATCTGGGGGTAAACCAGCAGATGACAGCTTTCTGACATACTTTTTACAAAACAGCAGGTCAAGGAGGAAGCAGAGAAGGTAGCTAAGCGCTTTGCTTTTGGACAAGCAACAGCTGCGAAGGTCCAATGTCTCCCCGGCTGCCCAACAAAAGGGCCTCATCCTGCCATCTCTCCCCATCTGGAAACCCGTGCAAGCTCCTAGTGACAGGTGACCAGCAGGTACTGTACTCGACCCCTGGACACAGACTGAACAGGCCTCCCCCTCTGGCAGCTGGCAGGAAATGAGGGCAGAGAAGGGAAACCCACAGGCCCAGCATCTGTAGGTGGTAAAGACCAGAAGGCTCCGAGACATCAACGGCCAGCAACTGTGAAGTATCTCTGGGCTGCAGGCAGATCCTGGGCGGGGCTGTTGCCCACGTGACATGCCAGCCTGGCTCCTTCCCTGGGCCTTCCTCCTAACGTTGAGCAACCTCCCTTGGCGGGTGGCAAAGGTGGCACGCCCATTCAGGTTTAGGATGAAAGCAAAGGCAAGCTTTTCTGTTCCTGTCTTTGGTTTCAACTGCCTCCAGGCTCCTTACAGATGTCCCTAATACGCATTCAACAAGAAGCAAGCTAAGAGACATGGATTCTGTTAGATTACAAAGCATGCAATTTCTCAGACTTGACCTTGAGGTTGTAACTCAAGACCGCTTTTGGCCTGCATGGGCATGGCAACTCCCCTAGGATGGGTGATCTCAGGTGCTGGGAGGAGCAGGCCTCACACCTGCACCGTACAAGGTTGGTATGAGCAGAGCATGAATTCTGTCAGGGCATAGCCTGGGAGAACAGAATCTCTACCTGCCCCTGTGGCACCCTCCAGGGTGAGAGTGGGAGTGCTGGTGACATCATGTATGGAGGAGAGTGAAGACCCTAGCCGTGGGGGAGATGCATGAGGCCATGGCTCCTGGGACATTGCCTGTGTCAGCAGCTGGTCTCATCCCAGCCCAAGAGGCATTCTGTTTCTCCCCTGTTCGTCAGAGTCAGGAGGGGCAAGGGGATTCACCTGGGAACAGCTATGTGCCCCGGGCATGGGAAGGAACATGCATCGTGGCCAGGAGGGCTCATGCTGTGGCGAGCGCGCAGGCTTTCTCAGGCCATCAACCTGACAATGGCTTCTCGTGAAGGAGATCCGGGAGAGGGAAAGGCAGAGATGGATGAGCCAGCGATATCCGGAGCAGAGCTGTGCAGAAAAGATTCTCTGCTCAGGCGGGAGAGGGGCCAGCATAACCATCCACTAAAGACAAGAAGATGCAGTTGCTGGGCGCTTTGGGCGTACACCACAGCAACATTCAATAGCAGCAGGTGCATTCCACGCAAACAAGGGAAGCAAGATCCTCCCTCGGCACAATCCTTTGCAAGGGCCAAAGGGTTGCTTCTGAGCACACCTGCCTTTGAAATGCTGGATCCCAAACACCACCACCTCCTTCTGTGCTGCTTCCTGAACTTTCTCTCTCTTGAGGCTGCAGCTGTTTGGCATCAGTCCACCACAGCTTTGGACAGGCGGGTGCTCTGCCATGCTGATTTGGTTGTAAAACCATCTGAGAGACTGAATTCAGCATTTATAGTGGGCAAGGGGGGGGTGGCTCCCAACAGTCCACTGCAGGCAGGCTCATGAGCACAGGAGCAGGGATTTTTAAAGTACACAATCAACTTTTGAAATTTAGAGGTAAAACGAAAAGTGACTTGAAACATTATCAAGGAAAAGTGAGCTGCAAATCAAAGCAAAAATGTGCGTTTGGCTTAAGGGCAAATGCTAATATTAGCAACGCAGTGGCAGGGGGTAGCCTCTTATGCCAGCAACATGAGATGAGATTTCTAAGTCATGAGGTTGAAAATACACCCAGTACTGGAGACTCAGGATTCCTGCAGATTAAAGCCAACCAAATATGGATTCAAAAGCATAACCCCAAACATTATGGAACATGAGTTACGAGACAAGGACAAAGGAAAAGATGCAGACATATTGCCAAGGACAGCCAGGTATTAGGATAATCAAGTATGGATTATCAATTACCTACATATGAAATGTTTAAAGAAGAATGGAATCCTGAAAGGGAGTAGCGAATAGAATACCCCCAAATTGCTCAGAAATATTTGAGAAGAGCTCCACTGGCAGCCAGGTGGGAAGGGGCATTCACCGGGAACGTGGAAGTGAACTCAGTCACAGAACAGCAGGTCCTGCTGATTTGTCCAATCCTATCATGGGCAGAAGAGGCAGAGTGGCAGAGCCCAGGAAGTCACGTGTGGCAGCAGGGTGGATTTCACGGCCCAGACCCCACTTGCACTACCTTGGGCACTATTTGGTAAATTGGGGCAAAGATGCTGGAGGAAGTGAGTTGTATACATGCTAAGTCAGGGGAGCACTTACTCCCAGCTCAACACATTGCACTGCTCCCAGCACAAAAACAATAACCACTCAGCACCCACAGGCTCCATCCAAATTAGGTCCAGTGCCACTGATGATCGCAGCTACTGCTGCAACCAGGAGTGGGGGAGCAGGCAATGCTATACTCACAGCATGTGATTACAAGCGGTGGAGAGTGGTGAGCCAGGATTGTAGCATGGAAGCCAGGACTGAATATCACTGCAGGGAGCAGTGACAATATAGAACCAGGCACTGAATGAGATCAGTAAGGTCAACTGGTAGACCTGCAGACAACACAGTTTAAAAACCAGCCCCAAAGAGAAGAATTTACTAATCAAAGTGACAATGACCAAGGGCAAGAAAAGAAACACAGGCACAATGAATAAGGTTACTGACACCTCCCCTGCAAAGGAACAAAACCCTGTTTTAGCCTCAGAGTTAACTGAGGAGGGAAGATGTGGAGGAACTATCAGATAAGGTTTTTTTAAAAAAAAATCATTACAAAGCATCTTAAGAAAAATAAAAAGCACATATAGGAGTTCAAGGAATACATTATAAGGGAAATAGCAACAATAAAACAAAATCAAGCTGAAGTATCAGAAATGGGGCACACAACGCAGCAAGTTAAAACCTCAGTGGAAAGCCTCAACAATGAACGAGTGAGGCAGAAGAAAACAGTCTCAAAATTGGAAGACTCCGGGGCACACCCGGCTAAGAACCTCCCCCGCCCCCCCCCCCCCCCCCATATCCTGATTGTGCCCCCCACACCTCTAACCCCAACAATCCTCCCTCCCCAGTATCCAGTTCTTGTTAAGAAACACCATGTGAAGGCCAAATATAAGAGTTACGCAAGAACATGGCGGGGTGGAAAGAGAAGCTGGGTTCAAAAATATATTCAGGGAAGTAGTAAAGGAGAACCTCCCTAACACGGAGAAATAATATTGAAAATAAAATACACAGCACTCCCAATAGAGTTGACCAAAAATGATCCAAGTTCTCATTGGTGGAACATAAGGAAAAGATATTGAAACATGCAAGTGAAAAAAATCAGCTAACTTATAGAGGAGCTCCAATCAGACTCACAGCTAACCTCTCAGAGGAAGCTCTACAGGCCAGAAGAGAATGGAGTGATGTATTCTAAATCCTGAAAGGAAAAAACTGTCAATCCAGAATATCTTATCCAGCAAAGTTTTGTTTGTTTGTGTTTATTTGCCTTTGAAAATGAAAGAAAATTCTTCCACAGCAAATAATTTGCCAGCTCTTGGGGTGTGCCAAGTCCACTGGGCCAGATCCTGGACACCTCAGTTCTTGGGGTGTGCCAGGTCCACTAGGCCAACTCCTAGACACCCCAGCTCCTGAGGTGTGCCAGGCCCACTAGGCCAGATCCTGGACAAGGCCTGCATGGTACTCATTTTCATATCC